TGACAGGCAAACAACAGGCAGAAATATGTTAACTATTTCAGTAGCTTTTTCTAGTCATATTCCACCTTAAGTAAATTTCACCAAGATATGTCCAACATAAAGACTTATATTTTTTAAGAGAAACAATACAATGACATTCATAAAAAAATGCACAATAATGTATGTAGACGGTAGTAACTTTATCACTAATTTGCATCGTAACACTACCCGGTAGAGAACACTACAAATTCCAGTTTTTCATTCAAAAAAACCACATTGATACTATCTGGTGCGAAGATTTATGAATGAAAAGTTTGTAAGCTCCCAACGTATTACGAATACGCTAACTAGTAAGGGTAGTGACATATAATAAGGGGGAATAAAATTATAAATAAAAATTAAATCTGTTCTGATTAATGACAAAAAAAATATTTGAAATAGAGACGAACACGATAATTTTCACTATGAATGTTACTGAAAAATTTTTGGAGTTAAATATTTCATCATACTTTCCTTTAATCACTATTACATACGAATATGAAATGTAGTTACTTCATCTCGTAGTCTAGTCATATCTAAAATAATAGAGCATCTCCTAATATTACACAAAAATAAGTATAACAAAGTTATTTTATATTTTAATTATTTACAAACATTAAAAATACAACGTGTAAAGTTAGCTGTTCCTATTTTAATAATGTATTTAATATCAATGAAAGCTGAATAACTTTAAATAACTTTGTTTTATGAGAAATTGCTGCGATGTTCTATGCAAAGTCGTTGTTTCAAGGTTTTATGATAGTTGTAAAATATACTTCCTGGCTAACTAGATTTGTTTTACGACTTCAAGTTCTACACTAACTCCTGCTGATGTGAATAAGTATACTTTGAGATTTTGTAAGCTCATGTTCAAATAGTAGATAATATTAAGATGGTGAAATTATAATGTCTTTATAACTGAATTTCAAATCAATGGGTATTAAAGAATTGAGAAGAAAAAAGAAATTATATATCCGTCACGACTAACAGCAAGTTACGAATAATAATAAGATTATACATACGAATTATTATTTTTTTGATTCAGGTAAAATCGTGAGAACTTAATCCACTTAAAGTCTCTAATAACAAATCTAAAAGGATTTGGGTTCGCATAGATCATATATATTAATGTTGAAAACATTTATTTTATGTTATAAGTATAACTTGATTCCACTCAGAACTATGTTAGAATAGGTTATAAACTCAATGTAAAATCATTTGAACCTGGACCTAGTGATTTTCAGGGTCGTTAAGGGTCGGTACCTTGTATAAAAATACTATTTATGAAAAGTCATTTACTTGTTATAGAAGACTAAATTCTAAACTGTAGCAAGATAATTCATTTTCATAAAAGAAATTCCTTTATGATAAATCCCTAAAATTTTGTTAAAAATATCAATCTCATACCACTTTGGGGGCGTTTGTAAATGTTTGCAAAGGATTTTTGTGTCCAGAATGGGACTCTCAGCTCGTAAACCGTATCCTCGATGTGAATAACGTGATCCATACAAACCCACCCCAATTTTATATGATTCGAGCATAGCCTGCGCCCAGTGTTGCGTGAAAAAGGAAAATCAATTACTGGAGATGGCGACCGGCAGTGGGATACGATATTGGACCTTTTTATATTTTGGATTTGTGTTTTTTGAGAAAATGCAAATGTTAGCAAAATGTTTTCCACACGCCTGTAAAGGTTTAATAGGTATAGCTATTTCTTCCACCTTCGCTGTACTGATCAAAATGCTTATAATAAACTACATATATACTACTCAAATATTTACATATTTTTCAATGTTAGGACAAGACATTGATTCTGATATTTCGAGTATATAGACAAACATCTCTATGGCCTTTTTCAAGTTTAAACAGTCCCTTTAAATAATTTTCTCCGTAGACCGGTTTTTTCTTGAAAAATAAACTTGATGTTTTTTTTATGTTCAGTATGGGGCTGGTTATGAGAAGGTCATTTTATTTTGTTGGCGAATGTAAATCCCTTTGAATTGAATACAATATGTCGTCTCGTCCCTTTTGAAATCGAAGCCTAATTAGTGAAATAGCTCCGGTGCTATGGGGATACGCATCAGTTGCCGCATCGATGCCGTGATTAATGGTAATGTATGGTGAATAATGGTTTTATTATGTGAATACTCACAAGTTCGAATATAACGTAAATGAAAATATCAATTAGTATTGTGTCAGCATTCAATTACTTTTTTATCATATTATGTATTAGCTTGGAAAATTATAAGTATTATTCATATATTTCAACAAGGTATAATTTTAACAAATAAAATGTATAAAATTATATAATTGTTATTCTTAAACGATTAAGATGATATATTCGTGGTTATAATAATTTAAAATAACATTTTTATGTTTAACCATAACTTAGTTTTAACTTGTTTCTTCAATGTTAAAGCTGGTGATCTGAGTTAAAAAGAAAATTGAAAATAATATCAATAGTAAGTGATAAAATTTCCTATGAACCTTACTAAATTTTTAAGGAAATTTCTGTAAAGTTTGTCACAAAGATAATGGTAAAATAGAATTTTGCACTGAACTTGTATAATGATTTTAATATCCGCATAAATTGATGACACTACTTCTCATCTAGTTTTCACCTTAAATTTGCGATTCAATCGATTACATTGTCAATGAACGGTTTGAATAATTTTCAATGATATCAACGTCTTTTTATTAATATATAGAAAATAGCATAACTTGTTTTAAATTTGTAAGAGTTGTTACGACTAATATATCTTCTAATCAGTATGTTTTTTTTTTTTTTTGTTAACTCTAATTATATGTACCATTTATACCAACTATAAAGTAAAACTGAAAAACAAAACTAAAATGTGTTAAGATTGAAAGCAAACTTTATTTCAAACATATCAATAGAATACAAGCATCATACGTTGTGTGCTCGTAGCAAATAGAAAAGGAAAATCACATTTAAACTGAACTGTATTTATTACTTTATATAGTTACATAACCGCTATCACGGGCTTTGTTTAGCGATGTAGTTTCTTCTGCTTGTTTTGTTCACTGCCAGAGGGGTGTTGGGGGGAAAAGGTACCACCTGTTGCTACGAAGTGAAAAGCCTAATCCTTCGAGATGAAATAAACAGAACATTGGCTTGGAAAGTCAGAATGCATATCAATTTACAGAGAGAACGTATTTTCTTTTTATATCGGTGCCAGCGGAATGTGAATTATTTTCAACTACGATAAGATTGAGACGGTTTATGTATTCGGTGGAATGGGTCCGTTATTCGTCTGTATAATTATTTTTTATTTACTTTAAACATGAAATAATCTACATAAGTGATATTTGGATATAAAAAGGTACAACAAACTGGTGTGGTCAAAAAATCTATCCACAGCTTTCTCGTAGCCTAAATTCAAGTGACTATTTGGAAAATTTAGATTCATTGAACTTTTTAAGGTTGTAAACACTTTTAATTAAAGCCCTTTTCATAGATTTTATAACGATCTGCTTAAGCAACATGCTTAATAAAATCCATCGGAGCACTCAAATATATTATAACATTTTATTTCATTTGATTTTATTTTATTAAAATAATTAAATATTTATCTAAATCATGTAATGTCATCATGAGACGACTTATACATATATTAATTATTATTATATTCATTTATATTTATATGTCTAATTGTTCATATATATTTATTAGTATATATATTTATGTATATATGTTTGTATTTTATGTATCTATTTATATATGTATTAGTACGAGTATATATATAAGGATAAGGCACCACCTACCTTTCGCTGCACAATATCCCCAAATCAAAGGTTGTCTGGCAGAAATCGCTATTTAGCGATAAGACCGCCTTTTTGTACATTCCAATTTATTTTTTTTTTTTTCTTTCCGTGTAAAATTTATTGTTTGTGGTGTACAATAAACTATATTCTATCTGTCTATTTTATCTATTGTGAAAATGATATACATATATTAATGTTATGTATGTAACCTTTAAGGGTGATAATGGAAAAAAGGGAAACATTTTAAAATTACATGAATAAATAATAGAACAATAATAAAAATACAAATACAAAACGACTTAAAAAATAATTTCAAAAAATTACTACATATGTAGCATATGTTTACAAGCCTTGCTCTACCAAACATGTATATATTTGTGAATGCGGTTCTTGAGAGCGTGCGACTATAATAAGAACATACTCAAACGCTGATATCCCGAGAGTCTGCATGGACTATAAATTGTGGTGCGATTGATAGACGTGCTAGGATTCTGACACGATACTATAAAACTACATAGTCGTAGATGTACGAATTCAATCACTTTTTAAATCCAGATACCTATCACCACAATATAAAATATATATTTATAGGTTTGATTTTTTTTATTAATGTATGATTTGTAGTGAGTGTCAATAGTTTTATTTTAAATAATGATATTTAATTTATTAATTAAATATTTTTTGTTTCAGGTATGATTCCATTTCACTGTAGTCTTAAACAACAGCAGGTCTACTTATTTGTAGAAATAAATGGGTACATTTTAACGAAAGGTACATTTTAGTGTCCATATATTACTTCTAATATAAAATATAGGAATGGAATATGAATGAAAGTGTTTAAAAATAATTGAAAACTAAACTTTGTTATGATCTTAGTCTGAAATTTATTTTGAGTAATAATTTTATTGGGTGACTGGATGAAATAAATTGCTATTAATAGTTTTGTTTATTTTTGTATCGCTGCAAGTCGTTTCTGTTCCCGTTCGAAGACATTGACATAAATCCAGTTTAAGCTTTGACGTCATTTCCATACCCATAATAATACTGAATTCACGACGTATTATATATAATATCTCATTCAATCAGTATAGCAAAATTTCATTTAAATTTAAATGTTCCTTTAAAAGTGATGAAGTCTTTTTATTTATTTTATGACAAATTATCATAATTGTTGTAAATTTTCATAAAACATATAACTACATTAATTTAATATTAAACCTGAACCGTGCAATGCTACAGGAAACGGTCTGGAAATGTATAGAATTCTCTAGCCATTTGTCTTCCTCACATCGCATGCGAGATGCTTCACCAAAGTCAAACGTTTGCAGCAAAAACATTAGCAACATAGATTGTACGTAATTAATTTTCGTCACTGGCAAAAAATGACATGGGAAGTCGGTGGTGTCGTGTGGGGGTGCATCTCGATGGTGACACGACATGTCGTCGGAAATATCGCCAGCGTTGCGTTCGCGTCTCCGTTCCGCATCCGGCCCGTCCTCGTTACGTACGCTTTGTGTCCGACTGCATGAATGAGCCATTGTCAGTGATATTACACTTGGCCGATTTGTGCATTGTGACCGGCCGTTTGTACATACAACATATATATTTTGAACATTATCTATTAATAGTTATTATTAAAAATATATTTATTCCATTAAATTTCTTGCATATCAGATCAATCATTTGTTGTTTATGTAATAAAGTCATTCTGACTGTAACATTAGGAAATGAACTTCAGTAATATCATTTCGATAATGTAAATTATGGTCTTATTATTTCCACCGCACTTGTATTTGCTATAACACTTGAAAGAACTTTGCAAGTTTATTTGGCGTCAGTCTCTAACATATAAAAATCAAATTAAATAAGAACAGTAACAAGATTCCTCCATTTCTCTCGTCCATTTTATATTTGTCTGGAAACATAAAAACTTTTATAACCACTCTGCCATGTCGCGAAAATCGTAAAACTACATTCGTCGGCGGGTGAAATTTTTGGAAGTGTCGCATCACAGATATTCATGTGTCTAACATTTCAGATTTTATACCGCGTCTGGTCGTCCCCGGTAACGGTAACCGGTCAATTCGTTTCGTGGAACGCCTGTTGCGAATTTGCTCCGCTTGGATTTTGAACGCTTCTGTTGAGCATCGGTCAGAAATTGATCCTAGTATTTTTGTGTTGATATTTTTGTTTTGCAATTTTAGATATTGTTTACAACTAGTATATGTTTATACATGATTTCCAGTTTTAGTAACTAATTTGGATATAAACATACTAATAAGTGACTAATATAATATGTACGACACCTTAAAACATTCATATCATTTTTGCTACGGATAACATTACATTAAGGCGCCCTAATTACTCGCAATTAATTAACAGTGATAATTTAATCATTACATTAACGTGATAGAACTATGTCTACTCTGTGTATATCAGCTTTTAGAAACAGACACATATATATAAATGTAGTTAGCTACATCCTCATATAGGCACTTCATTCAACATTCTCTGAGTGACGTGCGTTCAATGTCGCTGATGAACTGAGAGGTGTATCAATAGCTTCGCATGCAACACACCAAATTAACTTGTACCGTGATGAAATGTCCAAATGAAAATTGTAAAGAAATACGAGTATCAACAGTCTGATGGAAAGAGTGCTGTTATAAATTCAACGTACATATCTCCATGTGTCTGCCCATGAAACCAAACAAATGAACTGATTTTTATGCTATTTTGACACGTTAAGAGTGATGGATATATTCGGAGAAAATGTTTTTCAACGATTCGAAAATTTTCAGTTATTTGGATAATGATAGGACGTAACTTTTCACAGAAAATATCATGATTCGAGTCCCGTTAGCTTGAAAGTAATTTCTGTTTTGAAACAAATATTTGCAATATTAAAAGCAATTAATATAATAATGAAATTAAATAATATATGTTTACGGTATTTCTTCATTTACACTTTATAAGAAATTACGTAACAATTTCATTATCTAAAGTGTTTATTGCATCTTGTAAGGTATCATTATATATTATTTTAGTAGATTTTCAAATTTATTTCAAGCCAGGTAAACTAACAACATAGAACAAAGGCAACAATAAAATAAATAACCGAACCAGAGACACAAATCTACGCGTAAACATCACCGAAACCACAGAAAACTCCGACGGCTACATTTTTATCGTTTCGCAAGGAAAATATATTGCGACTTGCGACTGCCTCTCTACTATATTACACCTACAATCTACAGGGAAGTAATAAAACTTAACGCAAGACTCGACTGCGCGATGTTTGGCGAAAATCTAGCAAAAGCTACAGCATGACCAACATAATAGGCCTCTATAAAGTCTCGGTGCCCCTTGAGCTTTCTCTGATTTGTTTATGATGTCACCCGTCTCGGTGGCTCATTTTAATCTGGATGGAAAACCTCTTGATATAATAGGGTAAACACATTAGTAGAGACGGCTTGAGACGCGGTACTGAATCACGACACCTGCACCCGATTTACATAAGATTTATCGTGGCTTTTGTCTGCTTGTCCCTTTTGGGGAGAGAGTTAAATGGAATGGTTGATCTTTCGAGATTGCGTATATTGAATATTTTTAATTTACATTTTGTTTACATAATTAATGTCAGTACCTTAGCTGCGGTCTCTTTTATACAGTCGCTTTATTTAGAATTGAATATTGTTTACAATTCATCAAGTTAAGTTTATACTTTGACTTTTTTGGTAGTAAAAAATTTGTGAAATAAATTGTAGCCACGCTTAAAATCTTAAATGACTTATTTTTGTAGAACTCTAGATATTTGATTCCCCTTGAAACACTTCAAATTTTCTGGAATACCCACAACATTTTAATTAAAAAGAAAACATTATTAAATTAGAAATAATATCAGTATATTATTTTTCCCCTAGATACTTTACCCTCCTGAATGAAAGGAGTCAGCAATTACTTCCGCGTTCCCTGCTATATTTATTTTCAAATGTATTGAAATCGGAAACAATTCTGCAGGGTCTTCACGAATATCTTTCACGATTAATTTGTTAGCATCCAATATACATGTATTGAAACCGTAAAGTCTTTTTTCTAATATACACTATAGGGAGGTTTGATAAAATTGAGGGTATATTAAGAGTATATGATCTTTTAATAACAGTTTCTAATTCATTATCTAAAGTCTTAAACGATCAATTCAGTTAAAGTTTTTCAAAAATAGTTACAAGCATCTATACACACACTCCATCCGAACATTTGTATTTCTTCTCTGTTTTACCTTTAAAGTATTGTAAAAAGAAGATTTATTCATGAACTACTGTTTTTTTTTAACTTCACTCGCACGTTGAAATTAAAATAACCTTACAAAAACATTTGCGACATTTTGATTTAAACAGTTTTATAATATTTACGTCATTCAATAATAATAATTCGTGGAAACAGTTTCCTGAAAAATGTATTTATTTTGCAAATACTGAGTATTTCTTTTGCAGACATCTAGCTTCAAGAAGTGATCGACTGGCACGGGTCGAAAATTTATGAAATCAACGATACTCTAAAAATATTAATTTTGTTACTTTAAAGAGTTTATGTGACGCAAGTGAATAAAACCCTAAATTAATTAATTCCTTAACGCAATTATAATTACACTCATGTGATTTGTTTTAAAACCAACATTAAAATCTGTTTGGAAATTGTAGTATTTTTTTACATATACGTATATTTTTAATGCTGGATGTATTTTTTTATATGCTATTTATTACATTTCTGATAAAGATCATGTTGGTTATTTACGTTGACACTGACGTAGTTCTGGCGTCATTGTCATTTGTACCTGTCAGAAACTATGAAGGTATTATAGTACTAATGGCGTTTCGAGTAAGATCTATTATTGTGTGTGTCTGTGACGGCCATGTTAACAGGGTGCACCGCAGCTATTGTTTAAACTTAAATTGCTTTTGCATTTTGACGCCTCGATGTGTGTTTTGAACGTTTGTTTACTTCTATATATTTCTGTAAATGATTTAGGTATTAACTCTTCGTCTAAATTTAACTTACAAATATGTATTATTGCACTCAATTGTATTATTAATGCATATTATTATTTTTTAAAAAGAAACAATATGATTAAGCAATTCTAATATAATGCAAGAGTATGAAAAAAAAATGTTGTTAGGTATTGATATCAAAAAAAATATGGGGAACAATAAAAAAATTATAAATTCAAACTATGTAGTAAAAAATTACGGCTATTTGTTGTTTTATTCGTTTGTAACATCAAAATCACTTTAAACGACGTTTACTTCAGTCCTCTCTAGTAGCAAAACTCTTAAATCAAGCTATATGTATAATTTTATCATGTAATCATGTCTAATTGTTAAACATATATCACATCAGTACTCAATACTTAATATATTTACAACAAATGTGCACAGCACAGAAACTTTCATCTCGTGCCCTGATCAGGGTCGCTGAAAAGTAATCGAAACGTTGAGAAAATGTAGAAATAAAATAATATAAACACGTAGCTATCTAAAAACCTTCAGTTCATTTAAAATCTTAGATATTATTTTGTTAACAGGATCTTTTAGTCAGCTTTTCATGTAAACATGGTTAGAATTAAATAATTATATTTATGTGACCTCGTTAAATTAATTAATATTTGTTTAGAGATTTAATCAATATATTTTTCGTATAATAATATTAGTTTTTCCAATCAAAGAAATGGGCAGCCGTAATAAAATATCGAAAAATGTTGTTTTGGTTTTGAAGAGCACTTCGAAGCTTTTCAGTTTTTTCGACTGCTGAGCAAAAGCCTCTTCTCACATGGAGAATGTTTGAGAATTAATCACCACCCTTTGCTCAATGCGGGTTGGCGATTTCAAATTACCAATTTTGAAATTATAAGTTTCCTAACAATGTTTTTCTTCATTTGGGGTACCTCATAGGATAGTATAGTCAGTATAGGATATAATGGTCAGTGGTGGCCTAATGGTTAGAGGGCCCGCCTCTCGATGCCGAGAGCGCGGGTTCGATCCTGGCCCGGGAAAGTACCAATGTGATTTTTCCAAGTCATATGTACTTTCTGAGAATATTTAGACATCACTGATTAATGCTGATTCCCAAAAAGAGGGTTGATATCAGGCAGGCGGCCGGTCGTAAAAAAAAAATAACCAAAACTATTCACAACACGTAAGGCAAACCCTGGCTATAGCCGGGAACTTGCCAGGTAGAAGAAGAAGAAGAAGATAGGATAGTATAACGATTCGATCGATAGTATATCGATTCGAGAGAAATAAAAACATTGGAATGTTACCCGTGAAAAATGATATTAATTGTAATTTTAAAGATATTACGTCCTATATCATAATATTGAAGTTGGATATTTTAGGGGATAAACTCCAATCTTAGGAAAGTAATGTCACTGACACTTTACTCGTAGACCTGAGCGCGATGTAGTTTATAAAGCATAACTTAATAATGTGGCTACTGTACCATACCACCCTAATGTTTGTCCTCTGCAGTTGGTCGGAAA